AAAAAAAAAAAAAAAAAAAAAAAAAAAAAAAAAAAAAAAAAGAAGTCACCTTGTTCATACAGATATTCCTTTAGGCTGAAATTTATATGCTGTGTGCTTTAAAATTTTTGTTTTTGTATTTCTTCCGGTCCCGGGAATCGAACTCACGACCTTGCGCTTACCAGGCAGGTGCTGTGCTGCTGAGCTAAATCCCCAGCCCGCTTTAAAATTTTCATACAACGTTACATACAAAAAAGATCCTCTTAAACAAACAAACAAAAAAAAGCAGGGACTTCCAAAGGTTGTAAGCCAAACCAAATATAGTGGCAGGAAGAGAAACATTTTGTCTCCCAATTCTGTTCTGGGATGGGAAAGGTCCTAGTCCTCTTTCCCCCAACTCAGAACTTGTCAGTGTCTATTACCAGTTCATCCACTGGCTTAGGCTATATAGAATGATACTTGTCTGGAAAGAAACAAGTGAGTGGTGAGTTGGTTGGGCAGCAGAGTAGTCTGTGGTGTCAGCTGCTGAGATTTACAGTATGTTTGTTTGATCCTGGGAGCAAGATACTAGGGAAGAAAAAGGACAATTCTCCAAACTGCATGGATATCCCAACCCTACACAATAGATCTTTCTTAGCAACACAGCTAGCAACCCTACTGTCTTTGACTATACATGGATGCCAAAGACAACCTAAATCAGACACGAGTGAACATTACACCTTACAGTGAAATGTACTGGTATATTAACGCACTTTAATAATAATTAGGATACTAACGACACTTTGTTAAATGTTTGGAACAGCTGTACAGATCTTCCATCAGGAAATACACAGCAATTCTGTTAGATCAACAAAATCCCTTGACTGCTTTCTGAACCTAATCTTTCTTGGATGGGTAAAATTAGAGATCAGAAAATTAGGACTAAAAAGTGATGCCTAGCCAGATGTGGTGTATGCTGTAATCCCAGCACTCGGAGACTGAAACAGGATTGCTTCGAGTTCAAGGCTAGCTTGAGCTACATAGTTCAAAGCTAGCCTGAACTACACAGTGAGGCCCTGTCTCACACACACAAAAAAAGCGATGGCTGGATGAATCACGATTTCATCCATACTGGTAGTACAATTTGTGTGTTACTTTTACGTTGATTATGCTTCCCACTAAAATGGTTCCATAAAGTGAATTAATCATCTTATTTACTGCTATTTGTCATGCATATTGGCCAAGATGAGCAGTATCAGAAATCTTACTAAGTGGCAGATGCAGAGAGTTGAGAAGATGCCAAAACCCTACTGTTCCAGGAATCCTGCCCTGTGTTAGTCGAGGAGGCCTGAACCAACCCCTTGACTACTTGGAGCCTGAGTTGCCTCATCTGTAAGAACGGGGCTCATCTGAAACGAGTCAGAACCCCAATATTTCCCCCCACAACCCTAACGCCTCCTCAGCCGCGAGGTCGGCCGCCCAGTCTGCGCCACTCACACTGGCC